CTCTTTCACAACGGGACAGAGGCCCAGAAACGGGACCAAACACCCCAAGGGAACACGCAAATCTCCGCAGCAAGACCAGGCACACCCGGCCCTTGGGCTGCAGGCTCCTCCAGCCCCGTGTCTCCCTGGGGCGGGAGCAAACAGAACCGTGTCCTGGGGAGCTGCTGTGCCTGCCTGCTGAGCGGCCAACGGCTCGCTCCCTCCTGATGGAAGCCCCCTGGCCTCACGTGAATGCCACAGGAAACTCCAGAAAGCTGAGAGGAAGGGGCTTTGACCTCCTCGTGCCCGCGTGAAATCCCAACTTCATGGCAGCCCAGAAGGATTTGGCCCCAAAGACTGTTCTGGGGTCAAGTTTCACTCCTGGAAGGAGCCAAGGCCTCCTGAGGCGGGGCTGGGGCATCCGGCCCCTCTCCCCGGACTCAGTCCCTCCTCGCGTCCCATGTCCTGTCACCAGGTCCTCTGCCGCATGGAACATTTCACCCTGTCCTTACGGGAACTGTTTTGGCACAGGATGGTCCTCGCTGGGGCCACGGTGTTGGTCCTCCTGCTTCGAGGCTCTTTCTGGCTGCGGCTGAGCGGAGCTACCACGTGTGTGGTCCCCAGTCTGCGCAGACGGTGGCTGCACAGAGCAGGGGCTGCAGTGGGGAGTCAGGTGGCACCCCTGGGCCACACAGCATGTCATGCACTCCGTCCTACGTAAAGCATGCAGATGGCAGGGTCCGGCGAGGCCACATGGTCCGCCCAGGGCGAGCAGTCAGAAGGCGGTGCAGGGTCCCCGACTCGTCCGCCTACGCGGCCCGGCACAGCCCAGCAGCCCTCGCAGTGGGTTCGACCTCCAGGCCAGGTGGAAGCAGCAGATGGCGCCTGTAATTGGCGGCAGGAGGCTGCACCTGGGGAGGAGACAGCCGTGGACGGAGGGAGGCCCTGGCTTCTAGCGGCTCCTGGGCCTGTGGGTGCTTTTGCCAGCGGGCGGGCGTTCTTCTCGATAGGCCTCAGGTCACATGTGTTGGGCGTGCACTCCTCTGTACTTACGCCTCAATGAACACATTTGCTGGGTATTTGTTCATGGGCAAGTGTGTGTGTGTAAGTGGGTATATGTTGTGCATGTGCACGTGTGCTATGCATGTGCATGCGTATATGTGTCACACATGCATGCACTACACATGTGTTGGTGTACATGCATATGTATATGTGTGCGTTTAATGTGTGCAGGTGTATATATGTATACGTGTGTGCTGTGTGCACGTGTGTACATGCATGTTTGCATATGCTATGCCTCTGTGTATAGGTGTATGTTACACGTGTGTATCTGCACACATGCATGTGCATTTGTGTGTGTTATGTGGTATATATGTACACGCGCACGTGTGTACATGTTGTGTCTGTGTGTGCATGTATGTGTATGTGTGTTGTGTATATGTGCATGCATGCTGTGTGTATATATGTTGTGTGTGTGAATGCACACACACATGTATATCTGTCCACCTGGGGCACTTTCTGCTCTTATAAAAAGTAGGAAGTGGCTGCTGTGGAGCCCAGATGCCTCCTGAAGTGCAAGTGTAAGGGAAGCAGCCCTTCTGCATTTGGCCACCTTGGGCATGGCGGTGTGCGGCGCTGTGGGATGAAAGTGGCAAAGCGAGGGCCTGCAGTGTGCAAGGAGCCGACACACGGGCTTCTAACCCCACCTCCCCAACCTTGCCGGCTTTTCCTCTGAAGCACCTGGAGCCAGGAGACAGGCAACGTGTGGCTAAGCCTTTGTCCCTGCCTGGCTGTCATCATGGAACCTGCCAGACCTCACGGCCCGACTACTGAGCGGGTTCCCCTGCTCTCTGGCCACCACCTGTCCTCTTGCTAGCCCTGGCTGTGGGGCAGGCAGGGGAAGGCTGCACGCTTTGGACAGCAGGCTGCTGATGCACGCCCAGGGAACCAGGCCTCAGTCCTGCTAGGTACTATTCTTCCCCAGGCAGGCTGGGCCTGGGGGGCAGCCTGGTCACCGGACCACTGCCTTCAACAGGCGCCGAAGGGTGCAGCCGGGGCCCATACGACATGATGTGGGTTTTTGCTGCGTTTAAATGAAAATCGGGATTTGGGAAATGCCTGCCCCTGTCGCATAGCACGCATCATCCTCCCGGGTCAGACCAGGTGGACGGGCAGGCCTGACTTGTTTGTAAAACAGAAAAAACTTTCTCCCTTTCCCAGGACCTCCTGGGTGCCCCGACATCCCAGACTCCCCCAAGGGGCCTGGGCCTGAGCTGCCCGCGGGGCAGATAGTGCCCCCTCCCTGGGGTGGCCCAGTCCTGGCCCAGACAGTCCATCTCATTTCCCGCAGTGTGTAAATGCAGCCTCTGCCGAGTGTGGTCTGAGGGACATAGCAGCCGGGCCACCAGTCAGGCCCCGAGCTGGGGGCACCCTGGCAAGGGACGGCAGGGCTGGTGTGGTGACGGGTTTGCTCAGTCTGCCCTGTTCCAGGAGCTGTAGGAAAGTTCCAGAAGACATTTGTCTCTCGGTGCAAATGAAAGCAGAAAGTGTTGCAGGGCCAGCGGCCTGGCCCTCTCGTGGAGCCGGAAGCAGGACGCAGCCTGAGTCCACCACGGGGACACAGTGAGTGAGGCTCTGGGCTCAGGGTGGCCTGGGTAGCACGAGGCTGGGGCCCGCTGTAGACGATGGCGCAATAATCGGAGACAGACGCGGGGCCTCGCACTGACAGATGGCTTGGGCCGTGCCCACCCTGAGGTTCCAGGATGGGGATGAGGGACCGACATGCTCATGGTGCCCACAAGGGGGCACCTGCCTGTGCAGTGACTAGGCCTGGGTACACCTGGCCTGCACTCTGGGCTCCCAGGGCCCCGAGGCCCACCCCCAGTACTGTGGGTGCCCTGGTCCACACAGGACTCCTGGTACTCCGGGTGTACGCGGGGATACACAGCGTCCTTGTCTGGCCCAGTGTGAAGAGCCAGCGCCTCCTGGTGGGCCAGGCCATCCGTGTGCCAGGCCGGGGGCACACAGTGAGGGCAGTCCTATTTCTCCTCCAGCCTGGAAGTGGACAGCTCGTATCTGAGGCCTGAAAGTGCCGCTCCTCTCCCAGGTGGCCGGGACAGCAGTGGTCTGTGTGAAGACCTGAATTCGTGCCCGGACTTCGCACCCTGCATGGCCGCTCTCTACCGAGGGCCAGAGAGACGAGGCTGGGCAGGCTCCGCACATTTGGACTCCCGACCACAACAATGCCCATGCTCCCGTCCCCCGCCTCCTCTCTGCGGGCCTCCACCCGGAGCCCGTCCTGCACCTGCGCTGAGGGTCTCAGCTACGTCCCTTCTGTATTACTAAAGTGGGGACGTTTGAGCCCCTGCCCCTGACTGAGGACCGGAGGACAACCGCAGGCATGACCCTTCTCTTGCCCCGTCCCATGGCTTGGTGTTTTTCCCAAACACACGCACCCTGGGGGTCGGCCTGGAAGACCCACAGTGCTTGAAGGCCCGTTGAGCAGCGCTGGAGCGTGGGAGCGGCTGAGAGTGGACGCGGGCCCCCCGCCTCTGGCTGGCATCTCCACATCCATAGCCCCCTCGGCCCAACGCCGGAGAGCCCGAGCTGGAACCCCAGCAGGACACCGGTGGAAAACCAGCGAATCACAGTGTCTCCCCCGACAGCAAAGGCAGTTACGTCGCTGGGTCGGAGCAAGACTTTTCTCCTTAATACAACGGTGAAGTCCTGCTTTCGTGGCAGGCTGGTTTTGCACTGGCACACAGGGCCTGCCGCAGTGCGTGCCTCCACCTGTGCTGGGCCGGAAGTGCGTCTCATGATGGAGCAGGACAGCTGCCATCTGGCTCTGCCACTCTGTCATGCAGGTGCGACGCCATGGGACAGAGCTGGGTGCTGCGTCCGGCGTCGTCCTGGCTCCAGACTCGGCTCTGTGTGGTCCAGGCCTTCCTGGTCCCAGCTCGATCCTACCCCACACCCCCTCCCCGTCAACTCTGAAAGTCGTGCCCCCAGTCAGCCCCTTTCAGGAAACATCATCTTTTTATTGCGTTGGGGTGTCGTCCGTAATGTCCACAATAGACTTCAAAAGGATGCAGTGTCTGTACATTTCCACGCCTCACTGTGCCCAGAACACCCAGCCCTGAGCCTCTACTTCCGTCTGCGCTCTGCTTCGCCCCTTGGCAGGTGCTCTTCCCCAGTAGAATGTCTTGCTGTGGCTCCCAGTGACCGCCTCCACTGCTGGGCCTTCTAGGGGCAGGTGTCTGTGTCACTCAGTGCCTTGGGCTCAGGTTGTGGTGACAGGAAGTGCCGCAGAAGCAGCGGGGGTTCCGAGCACGAATAGGCTTCCCCGCTTGAATTAGACGTGCTTGCCTGGCCCAACAGGGACAACTTCCATGGTGCCCAAAGTCACAGCCCTTTAACGGCCTGGGCTGCTGCCGTCACCTCTTCGCCAACAGCCAGAAAAGGGGTCAGGGGCCCCACAAGTTCCAGGCACTGTCTGGGGCAGCCAAGGCGGGGCTGCGAAGGCAGAGGGGGGCGGCCTTTGCTCTGCTAGGCTCTCCCCCACGGCAGCTCCTCTGCCTACCTCCACCCTGCCCGGCCTGGGTTGCGGCAGGACTCGGTGGAGAATCGCCTTCTCTTTCGACACCGTTGCTCCTCGGGCTGACCTGGTGCTGCAGGGGACCCAGTCCTGAGCTCCGTACCCAGTGCCCACCCGTGCCGTCACCTGCTCTCTCTCCCTGGTGACCAGACCCTGAGCGAGGAGCGGCGGCTGGGTCCCTGTGAAACCTCCAGAAGCGCTTCTTTGATGTTTGCCTTCCTGACCGCCATGCTCTGCCCCGCTCGCCTGCGCAGGGAAGCCTCTGGCCACAGACAGGACATGAAGGCCCAGAGGACGGAGAACAAATAGGTCCTCCTACCCAGGGGCACAGGGCCACGGGCCGGAGGAGCAGCCCAGTTTCGGAAGGGAACCAGAACTTTTCTGAGACAGCGCCCTCAGCTCCTTCCGCAACCCTAACTCCCTTCCACCTGACCTTGACTCCCACAGGGCCTGCAGCCTGGCTGCTCATGGTGCCGGAGTCTCAGGGGCCCACGTGTGCACAGGCTGCCTGCCCTGCGTGCCGTGAGCCCGTACCGGCGCTCTGGTGGCATCAACTCCCTAGGCCTATGCCAACTTATTTTTTTGGTAGGGTTCATGCACTCACTGGAGAGACAGAAACGACACAGGGAGAGGGCAAGTGAGAAATCGGTGCCATGATTGGGGGATGGCCATGCCACAATCCCTTCTCCAGTCTCTTCCTGGAATCTTGGGCATGCACGCACACTTGCCCGGCGTGAGTTTTAAGGCCCTGGGTCCAAGAACCAAACTGTGGTCAGCCATGTGAGAGTCCAGCTACATAACCGCTATGCCATCCGCTGGCCCCCTTGTGCTGGGCCACAGGAGAGCCAGCCCTTCCACCCTTGGGGCCAGCCCTGGTGGCCAGCCTGGCCTGGGCTCCAGGTGGGAGCTGGGCTGAGGTGTCAGTGGGCCTGAAGGCACCCATTCTTCTGCTGAGTGCACAGCTCCTGGCAAAGGACCAGGCTGGCGCCAGGAGCCTTCATGTCGGTAAATCCTTTGAGGGGCTGCCTACACGCTGGCTTCCTTTTTTTCTCTTAGGATAGAGAACCGTGTGTGCATGTGTGTACACGTATGTGCATGCATGTGAATATGCAAGTGAGAGGGAGAGAGACAGAGAGGGCAGACGACAGGGCCTCGTTGTGCTGGGCCCCACTTCCCCAGCCCCCACCCCTAGGACCCTGTGCCCACCTGAACACCTGCATTTCCAGGCCGACCTGGCAACCTAAGCCCGTGGTGGCCATGTGGCCTCTGGCCCGCTGCAGACGGTGCCGTGGGGCTGGGCTGTCTGGCTCAGGACACCCGTTTCCAAGGCTCTTCTCCTCTGGGCTGTGCCGAGAGAGAGCTCCAACAGCTCCCAACACACCCCGCCCCGAGGATGTGCCATAGCAGCCCCGAAGGCGGGCGAGGGTGCCGGAGCGTGACCTCAACGGCTACAGGAAGTTACTCTGTAAGCCTTCAAATCTCACCTCCCAGACCACAGTCCAGGAGGGCCCCAGGAAACGCGTCCCTCCAGAAGTCCCCAGTCAGGGCACCGTTGCACACGGCTGCAGGCCAGGAGCCCCTGGAGGGGCTCTCGTGGGCAGCGGCTCTGGAGGCCTCGAAGCCCCAGCGCCCACCTCCCCTCTGTCTCCATGGCGCCCCCCCTGCCCCACCCAGCCGCCTCTGCGGCTGGCCCAGAGCGCCTGCACTTACTCTCCCTGAGGTAGCTGAGGTGTGACAGCAGCACTTCGGTGTTGTAGAGGGAGGTGGCCCGCAGGAAGTCCTCCTTGCTCATCTTGCACAGCTCCTTGCCGTCCATGCTCTGGAAGAAGGACGTGTCGATCTCCATCAAGCCGTACTCCTTTATGGCCCACTCCAGCCACTGCCGCACGTGCTCCTGCGTCCACAGCGTGGGGTCTGTGGGGCGAGGGGGCCGTTAGCCGGTGCGGCTGCGGGGGGGG